GCCCTGTCCTGGGCTCGGGAGCGACGGAGCCAGCCCTGCGCACCCCAGTAGTAACTGCTGCCCTGTCCTGGGCTCAGGAGCCGGCCCCGCACACCCCAATAGTAACTGCTGCCCGTTCCCGTAGATGGCGCTGCCCTGTCCTGGGCTTGGGAGCGACGGAGCCAGCCCTGCGTGCCCCAACATGCTAATCAGTTTTGAATGTCAGCATCCCACCTCCCCAGCCCCTGGGAAAACCCAGCAAGGTCACTACTTGGCTGGCAGCCCCTTAGCCTCTGTTGGTGCCCGCCCTGCAAACCAACAGTAACGCAACAGGCCGTGCTTATCCAAGCACCGCACAGGACTGACTCACTCCAGCATCACAGCCTGGGGAGACCGGCCCCACTCAGCAAAGCGAGCAAAGGGGGACCAGCCTGAGGTCACACAGCTCGTCCGGCAAACCCAGGAATTGGAGTCCCACTTCCAGGCTCTAACTAGGAAGATAAATGACCACTGCTGCCCTCACCTGGGCCCACTAACCACGGCTCTTGCCTGCAGGTGAACTAAAAAGCCCTTTGATAGAAATAACAAGCAGAGATACAATAAACTCCACTGCTGGGAGTGCAGCAGCAGCCAGGAAAGTGAGCCTGAGACACGACCCCTGGGGCCAGCCTGTCTCTGCTCCCCAAACACCTCTGATTGATCACTGCTGCCTTCTCCTCCTCTCGGCCGAGCCAGAGCAACATGGTTACAGGAGTGAGAGCCCTGCTGGCTCCTGCGTCTTTGGCAGAATCATGGCTACAGTGCCAGCTGCACAGACCCACCCAGCCCTTGGGGACAACTGCAGAGACAGTCTGAACGGCGAGGGGCACAGGCTGCCAAGGGACGTGGGGGAGTCTCTACCCCCTGGAGTTGGGAACTCAGGATTTGATGTGTCTCTGTATGTGAGATGGTCTGGCTCAGCCAGAACTCTGGGCAGGATGCAGGAATCACGGGAGGGGTTTCTCTGGCTTGTGCTGTGCAGGACGTCAGACTAGATGGTCACCGCGGTCCCTTCTAGCCTTGAATCCATGGAGCAGAGCTGGCCGGGAAAGGATTGTTTCCTTCTGAAATTTTCAACACAAACAAAAATGTTTTCATTTTTGTTGCAAGTTTTTCTTTGAAATTTTCTTGTGTATGTATGTGTGGGGGGGGGGGGAACGAGCAAGCTTTGATTCCCTCCTCCTCCCCCTGATTTTTCAGCACAATAATGGAAGTTTTTCATTCACATTCCCATTTGGTTGAAAAAGCCACTTTCCATTGACAAAACATTTTGACAGAAACAAACAAACAGTCTACCAGCTCCACCAATGAGGCTTCAGACAAACCTGGCGAGCCCCCCTGGGATCAAGGGCACAGGCCAGGTGCTCTGGGGTTTGTTTTAGCCTCTGCGGTGAGGCTCTCATTAAAGCCACCACAGGCAATTGCCTTCATGACTGTTGCGGCAGGACAATGACACAGGCTGCTCCAGGGCTGGCCGCAGCAAGGACCAGCAGCCCTGTAGTGTTTGGTTTGTCTGGAAAGCCGCTGTCTGCATTTAGCTGGAGGATCCCCAAGTCCAGTCCCAGGCACGCTAGGGGGAGCTGTAATAGCTTCTCTGAGCTGCTAGAATAGGGGACTTGCTGCTGGCACCATGGCAGCAAGAAACGGTCAGCTCCTAGTTCAAAGATCTCCCTGGGGATTCTTCATCCCAGGCTCAAGGTACTCCTACCAGGGAGTTACAGCTGCTGTTGTCAGTCTGCAATCTACTGGCAGGCAAAACAGCGCCTGCACAGAACTGCACCCCGCGAAAGGATGCCAGGCTCCAGGCTGGACTGGGAGAGGCTGGGCAAGGCTGCGGAGAATGGCACAGCGAGACAGACCCGACTCTGCAGTGAGTTCCCCTGGATTGGGAGGAAAATGTAAACTCTCCGTCCCTGAGAGACGCTTACCCCCCACCTCCACCCCAGGAATGCTGGGAAACCAGACAGGGTCGGGCTTTCACATCCAGTTCCACCAGGGTGTTTCACCAGCTAACACATCCCAGGCAGCCTATCCCAGATAGCCCAAGATCACACTGGACACGCCACACTAGAGATTGAGGTCTGCCTAGTTCCTATGCTGATCTCATTGGATGTCACTGCTTCCCAAGATGAAATGGCCCTTCTCCAGCTGTGGATTGTGCCACCAGCCAGCCTAGATGACCCTGGGGTGTCTCCATGGCTCGCTGCACAGGAGGCTGCAGCAAGAGTCTTGTTTGGCTTGCAAAAGTTTCTCACTGTAGATCAATCTCAAAAAGGAAAAGGAGGAAGTACACATCAGAGCCTAAGTTCCCTACCGCACAGCCTGGCACACAAAGGCCTGTCTCAAAGCACAGCGAAGTCACTGTCAGTTTCAATGTGCCCACACGAATAGCTGATCTGTAACTATGGAAAACCAGTTTGCCCTGCAGCTGAGATCAGCTGTGCTTAGATGGGGACTGTAGCAAATTCCCTTCTTTGCACCGGTTGTAGACATTTGGGGAACATATGAGCCCCCCAACTCACTTCACAGAGAGCCCCAAACAGCCATCCGGTGGGACGAGCACCTCAGCTGGGTTTGAGAGTCCACACCCCTGAGCTGCTGTTTATTGGATTGGTTTGGAAGAGGGAGATTAATCTGGCGGAGAGCCGTGAACTGGCTTATCCACAGCCACTGCTAGCACGCTGCCACCCGGGAGAAGCAACGATGGACAGTCGCCGCTCTGAGGTGGGTGGATTGAAATGGAGCACTTTGCAGTGCCCAGAGAGGCTTATGTTGCCGGTTAACTTTCACTGAGCACGTGGGGAATGGCAGGAGGCCCTGGCCACTGCTTCCATCTGGGGAGGAGACGTGGCTGTTCCCTTTCCTGGGGCAGTGGATGCCTGAACCACGCGCACACAGATGCCTCCTGCCAGAGGTACCTGGCTCTGAAGCGTTGCAGATGGAGGCTCCATCCAGGGAGGACGAGCTCGAAGGCTCAGGAAAAGAGTTTGCTTTGACACGGCAGCCTGCCTGCAGCTCTCTCTCTCTCGGGTCCGTCTGCTTGTTTATCCACTTTGCTGCTGGCTGACAGTCACAAGTGCTCCAGCGTGATACCAAGGTACTGCTCTTCTGCTCATCCAGAGGTGGGAGCCTCGCTACCAGCCAGGGACGCTCCCCCATAATCAAATGGCTCCAAAAAGCAGCCGTGTCTCCTCTGAAGGGTCAGAACCCGACTCCTGCAGTCTACTGACGACGGTTCCATGGAGGGGTAGAACTGAGGGAGTGGGGAGAAACCACTGGCTCGGACAGTGATGCACAATCGAAAGAACAACCCTACAGGCTGTCCCAGGGACACGCACTCTCCCGTCAGACTATGCCTCTTTCCCACGGTCGCTACTCACTCCCCGCTCTGCACAGCCCTCTCTACTCCTGACCTTGCCTGTTCTCACTTGGTGGCCATGGTTTCCCCAGCCGCCCGCTGTGACAAGCGACATGGCTGCCTTTGCTAGCAGATGAAACCCAATAAGTGCTGGGTGGCGCGTGCGAGAAATGGGCCTCCCAGCCATTGAACTCAGGGGGGATACCAAAGTCAGGCCAGGCTAGCGGTGCTGGCAGGTCTGACGGGTGCAGGAGGCCTGCGTGACACGCGCGTGGTGGGTTTCAGTTCAGCAAGTGCCCACACCACCAAAAGCACCGTGGCTTGGACCCCTGGTTGTCAGTCTCGGCCAGGGAACGAACGGGCCCCAGGGACCGA